GTTCACCCTCAGCTCGCTGTGTAGCCTCAACACTTCCTCCATGAGCGCCGCCCTGTTCAACTTCTCCGTCTCTCTATCCTCCATCTCTATCCCCCTCTCCCTCTCCCTCCCCCTCCCTCTCCATCCCCACCCCTCCCCTCCCTCTCTATCCCTCTCTCCCTCCCCTTCCTCTCCATCCCTCTCTTCCTCCCCTCACCTTAATCTTCTCCCCATTCTTCCTCACGTTCACCCTCAGCTCGCTGTGTAGCCTCAACATTTCCTCCATGAGGCCACACAACATGTACTACCACAGTAAATACCTCACCTTCAAACCTCCCTCCCCTCCCCTTATCTCTCCCTCATCCCCCCTCCCCCTCCCCCACTTCCTCGCTCTCTATCCCACTCTCCCTCTCTCTCCATCCCCCTCTCCATCCCCCTCTCCCTCCCCTCACCTTAATGTTCTCCTCATTCTTCCTCATGTTGACCCCCAGCTCTCCCTCCCCTCCCACTCCCTTCCCTCCCCCTCTCCCTCCCCTCACCTTGATGTTCTCCTCATTCTTCCTCACGTTCACCCTCAGCTCGCTGTGTAGCCTCAACACTTCCTCCATGAGCGCCCTATTGGACTTCTCCGTGACCCCTAGCCTCGTCTCCAGCACGTGCATCCGGCCGTCGCTCTCGTCGGGGTCAAGGCCGGACTTGCTGTAGACCCCGCCCCTGTCCTGCTTCCGGTTGACGGGGACCAACCAGTTGCTCTCGCCGGGAGGGGGCGTGGCCGACGGGATGACCGGAAGCTTGGAGGTCGAGACAGGCCCGGAAGGCCTGTGGGTAGAAATAAAAGAGAGATTGTTAAACCCTAGCCGTACGCCCTGGGGTCATTTTGCACCACCCGGGTCGTATTCTTCACATTTAAGAATACCTCTAGTGCGAAGATCTCTTTAAAACTTTCAGTATTTCTAAAAAAAAATCATTTTGACATACTGCTATGCAAAGCGTAAGGGTAGGATTAACGAGTAAATTCAGTTTTAGCAAGAGTTTGAAAGATGGTGAAATGGTATGAATTTAACGCCCCTATCAGCACTATTAGGTTATTTAAGAGGGGGGATCTCCAAGTTTAACGCCCATCTTCGAAAGGACCGAGCCAAGAGGGAAATTCTTGCATGAAAGGTGCCTTTCCCAGGGACACAACGTCGAACCGAGCTGAGGCTCGAACCCCCGAACTCGCATCTCATGATTATGATGAGTCCGGCAGCACTAGGCTACCGATGCCACCAGAAAGAGTTTGCGGTATTTGCAAACAGTTCGGTCATATAAGTCAGTGTTGAAGATCAGAAATTTGATTTTTGTTTTAGTGAGAGTTTTACGGCACTTGCAATATGTGAGGCAGCGTGGTGGAATCAGGCTCTCGTCAAAATAATCAAAGTGAAGAAAGTTGCATTTTTCTGCAGGTTTGTGAATTTGTATCAATTTTTTTGTTTTTGGGCTCAATACCTTTCATGCCCATTAAAGAACTCATTTCTGTGTGGATTTTTCTGGAAAAAACGTTGATTAAAGGCACAAAAGATGTAAATTTTCAGTTACCACGGACTCTTAAGGTAAGGAAATAAGTAATCTTTGGCGGCCATTTTCTCACTAATTTTACCTCTGAAAACAGGTGACCCCCACCTCCATCATTCGAAAATATCTCGACTAGCATTCAAGATAAATTGATATTTTTTCCATCCAAATAGAAACAAATGAACAAGCTTTAAGATGATACCGATAACTCTACATGCTCAAAAATTGACGACAGCCTGATTCCACCACGCTGCCTCACATATAGTAAGGGCATATACGTGCCTAAGAGTAGAGATGTTACCGGGAAGTAACACACAAAGAAAAGAAGGAGGAGAGACACGGAAAAGAAATTTTTCACTGGAAAGAAGGAGTAAACCACACCAGATCACCTGCCAACCACCCACAGAGAAAAACGGAGATATTATTTGATACAATATTCTGGGAAAAGATGGAAAATATTCGATACAACATCCTTGGAGAATGCACGGGATATTCGATACAAAATCCACACAGCAAGACGAGATACTCGATATGACATTCCGAGAAAAAGACGGCGATACTCGATACAACATCCCAGAGACAGTCGAAAAAGCAAACGTCTCTGAGCGGGAACTGAACTCACAGTTTTTCGCGCGAAAGCGAATGTGATGCATCGAAATGAAATCAGGCGCTTGTCAAAATAATGAAAACGAAGATATTGGCATTTTCCCGCCAGCTTGACAATATTTATTTCCGAATTTTTGTTTTTTGGCTCAACATCTTTTATGTCCATCCAAGGACATTTATGAGCGGGTTTTACTGCAAAACGTTAATTAAAGGCACAACAAATGTAAATTGTAAGCTCCCAAGGACTCTCAAGCTTTGGAAATTAACAACTTTTGTCTGTCATTTTCAAGCTAGTTCTACCTCAGACACCAGGCCACCCCCACCTCCTTCAATCACAAATATCTCAACTTTTATTCAAGCTAGACGTTTTCGGTTTTTTTTTCAATCGTAAAGATAGGCAAATGAACAAGCCTTAGAATGATACCAATAACTCCACATAGCCAAAAATTGACGAGCGCCTGATTCCACCGCGTCGTGACACAAGTTATCATTTCACCTGTTACACCACAGACATCGGTAAGAAAACATCCAGATGAGCACACACAGCACGGGCCACGGAAAGCGAGTTGAGTTAGAATCAAAATTCCAAAGAACGTTTGTCCGACTGAAGACGATCAACTCATAAAACAGACGCGCCAGGTATGCAAAGATC